GAGTGGGATTTTTTGCTCTAACATATAAATATGATTATGTGGGTGTGTCGACGCAGTGCGAGCGTTTTTGTATAGTTCTCAGCTAACTTTTTGTAACGTATTTTTTGTGTCTAGTTAGTTTTTAGTTTTGTGTGTGTACATTTAAGTTTAGCATTGAAAACGAGGCGGTGAAACGAAGTATACTACAACAGAAATAATAAAAGAAACAAGAATGGCAACAACTTTATATATATACCTAATCCTAGAGAACTTGTCAGCAATTTCAATGAAGCTTGTAGAACTACGTAGTGACAAATTGCAAAACTAAACAAAAAATACGAAAATTTAGAAACGGAATTTAAACAAAAATAAAAATTTAAAAAAATATGACTACTAAAAGAAAAATTCAATATATACGTATATTAAAATATATATATATATATATTTGTGCAATTAGACGCTCTTTGGGTGTTTTGTGCTTTTTTAAGAGTGAACGTAGTAAAAACATATCGGCTAAAAAAAAAAAAAATATTTAAATATTATCGGAAATGTAGCGAAAAACTAAAAAATAAATTCCAATTTGTCGTAGCCAAGCGCAATAGTTGTGAAAATATCGAATATATCTGACAGATATTGTATTTTTTAGTTTATAATAATAATTATTATTATATGTATCTGTATCTGTGTATATGAAACAACAGAAAGAAGCAATGAGAATGAAAACATGAAATTTTATAATAGTTTGTTAAAATAAAAATAAAACCATAAAAACACAAAAGCAAAGCCAGAAACAACACAAATTTGCTTTTCAATATAAACCATTTTTCTACATATATTTTCTAATTTTTTTTTATTTCTTTTAATCTTTTATTATGAATTAGTTAAACGCAATACATGTAAGTATGCTTAGGATCTATATATCTGCTTCAATAATGTATATGATTTTTTATGGATTTTATTGTTGTTCTTGTATATGTTTATGTATATAAGCTTGTAAATAATACCTGTTACTTTAATTGACCTAAAATATAGTTATTAATGGGTTTCCTTTACTCCCTTATTGGGTGCTGCTTCCTATTAAAACTTAACGTAAACGAAACGCGTGCAGTTAACAAATGTGAGGCGAGGCGACCCAAAGTAACATTTTTTTGTTGTTGTATAAAATTCATCTTGGATTGGAAAGGATGTGGGTGTGGTTTTGTAGGCAGTGGACTCATTTGCCGTGCCATCAAAAAATAACACAACAATTCGAATTCGTATTTGGAACATTTCAAAATTAAATATAAAATGCGTATTGCTTCTAATTCTAAATGTATAATGTAATGTATATGTATGCTGTATGTACCTAAGTGCATTGATTTATATATATTGTAATGCATATATAATATTAGCATGATATGGCGCTTTTGTATTGCATGTTGCGTCTCTTCATTTCATTGTTTTGTATATTGATGTTGCAACTACTCTTAAATGGCCTCAACTCCTTCAGGAGCAAAGTTAGAGAGAGGGAGTGTGTGAGAGAGACAGCTAGAAACATTCATACATATATTTAAAAGTCTAATGAATATGCTAAATATTCGAGCTCTTGCAAATTTTGCGCAATCGTCTCGAATCACATTGTATCAAATTCTACATTAAAAGTAGTTTGCGTATTTTTTCGTTACTTAATATTTAACTTTCTTTTTTTTTTCGTATTTTTTTGCCAATTTGCAATTTTTGTTCGTGAGATCTAATTGTGTTTAATGTGGAGACAAATGATTAACGAAAATTTTTTAAAAGGAAAACATACAAAATAATTCAAATAAAATCGTTAATTTTCAGCTGTACTACTCTTTTTTCGATAGTAAAATTTTTAATCGTTTGCATCGTTGGAGCTGGCATTGCTGTTGCTAGAAGTTGCGGCACTTGCATTATTTGTTGCTGTTGGTGTTGGTGTTGCTGCTGCTGCTGGCATTGCTGTTGTTGTTGATGCTGTTGTTGTTGTATTGGTTGTCGTCGTTTCAGTCTCGTTATCACTCGCATTTAGGTTGTCCAACGCCTGCTCGGCATCCGATTCGGCTGCCGCTCCGCCCACCGCGCCTTCCAGCTCATCGCACATCTCCATAGCGGTTGGCTGCTTGGGCTTAAAGCTATTGTTGTCTACATTCAGTTCGTAGCCTTTGAAGGGATCAGCAAGCTTGGCCGAGTGTTGTGCATTGTGGAATTGTGCTTGAGCCTGTGCCTGAGCTGCGGCACGTTGCATGCGTCGCTGTTGATTGCTGAACGTGGGACTCTCGGAGCGTGCGCGTTGCAACAGCGGCCGCTGCTGATTGTAGTTGCCGTCGTATTCGCGCGAGCGTCCAAACTCGAAGCCATTCTGCCACTGCACGTGCACGTTCTCATACGAAGGATCCTCATGACGATAGCTGCTGCTCGTCTCAGCTGTGCGATTTGGCCGCTTGTCGGCGCCACAGCGCAGCCGGCTCAGGTTGCTGTGCAGCGGGCGAGCTGTTGGATTCGTTGCATCGCGTCGCATGCTTGCACTGCTGCCCTGATAGCGCATCATGTCCTGGGGCAGAGTGCCGAGGCCCAGACGCGGCGTGCCATACGGATTGGACATTTGCGAAGCCACCGAGGCGGTGTCGCAATTGACGCAATCGCGCGAGAACATAAAGTTAAAGTCAATCACCTGCTGTAGAGGACAGAAGATTAGGCATATTTAGTTGATGGAGATGTATATAAAAGCTCACTTTGCACTCGGGTCCCTGGCCTATCCAGAGAGGCAGCCACTTGTTGACCAGCAGCCACTGAAGACTGGACTTGGATATGCGGTTCAAAGTATTGTTGCCGGAATCCGCAGAGCTGCTCGAACGCGCTGCCGTCGCTGCTGCAGCTGCTGGTGCTGCGTTTGTTTTCTTGGATGATGCACTTGCTGCTGATTTGTCGGCATTGCTAGCAGCTGTTCCAGTGCTGGACTCCTTGGCCGCTTTGCTTGCAGATTTGACCTTCGGTATAGCGCCTGTGGGTCGCATCGCAGCCGCCGAGCTGCATGCTGCGTCCACATTGAGCTGTTGCTCCTCGGCGGCCGCTGAGGCTGCTGCGGCTCCAGCTGCGATTACTGCCGTAGCCGGACCAGCCGAAGCCGAGCGTGCTGCACGCTCCATGGACACATTCGGCGTCAGCGGCGAACAGTGATGCGCAGCAGCAACAGCAGCAGCCGTCGTCTTGTATATATTGGTCATGCTCTGTGAATTCTCGCCATGCAGGCAGCTGAAGAAGGACGAGGCGCTGTTCTTGACGGGCACCTTGACATTGCTGTAGTCAGCCATGCTGGCGGCTGCGGCAGCTGCAGCGGCGGCAGCAGCAGCAGCTGCACTCGAAACACCAGCACCACCAACACCAGCCACACCACCGGCACCCACATAGCCCTGGCAATTGGGCACAGTGCAGGTGGCATTTGCCGTGGGCGCTGCTGCGCCGCCATTCGCATTCAGACGAATGTGGCCAACGGTGCCGAAGTGCGAGTGTCCCAGCACTGCGTAGTGTCCGCCCAAATTGTAGTGGTCGATGTTGCCGCAGGAGGAGCTCAGGTGCCGTTCGATGCGCCCAATGCCATGGCCCAGCACATCCAGGCGCGTGTAGAGCGGCACACGACTTGCAGCCGCGGCAGCTGTGGAGCGATAGAGTGGCTCATCGCGTATCTGCTCGTAAATGTTCTCATAGCGCATGGTGCCTGCTGCAGCATAGGGTAGATTATAGCCATCCGTTGACTCAGTATCGTCGAAGCTGCGCTGCCGCTGACAATTTGAACGATTGCTTGAATACAATGGAGCACAGCGCAGGCCGCTGCCATACCGATTGCCTGTAAATGAGGCAGAGAGGGGGTGTTAAAAGAGTTAATAATGAACTGTGTGTATGTCTTATAAATGAATTACTTACATTAAATATTATTAATATTTAGTTTATGCATCAATTTTTAAGATATGCTTTGATTACTCAGTACAAAAATATTTGGTTTTTATATGAAACTCTTTTAAATTCTAATATTGTATTGATAACACACGCCTAAACCACAAATTTATACTATAGTAGATGGTTTAAATTCATCTCTATATATAGTACGTAATATCTTATATATTAAAAAAAAAAAAATAATCACATCTATTTCAATTACTATTATACTCGTAAGAATTTAGTATTTTTTTCCGATCAAAACTTTTGAACTTTCTTGATCTATGTGAATATCGCAAAGAACGAATGTACGAACGAAGTACGTAATATCTTATATATTAAAAAAAAAAAAATTATAATCACATCTACTTCAATTACTATTATACTCGTAAGAATTTAGTATTTTTTTCCGATCAAAACATTTGAACTTTCTTGATCTATGTGAATATCGCAAAGAACGAATGTACGAACGAAGTACGTAATATCTTATATATTAAAAAAAAAAAAAAAAATAATAATCACATCTACTTCAATTACTATTATACTCGTAAGAATTTAGTATTTTTTTCCGATCAAAACATATGAACTTTCTTGATCTATGTGAATATCGCAAAGAACGAATGTTGAAGAAATGAATGTAAATTAAATTAGTCAAAGAATGCGAATACACAGACATAACGTAGCAACAATTCATTGGTCTAATCAAAAATATTTACATTTTCTACGCCTTCATAAGAATTCTTCAATAGACGTGTTTACTATTTCACAAAGCAACTGAAATGATTTCTATAATCGTATAAATAAAAAAAATTAGATGAGTATTTATATGTATATAATTTTGCATTTCTAGTCTCTTTACTATTATTAAATATACAGCAGAATCCGGCTATAACGACACTGAAAGCACAGTCGTTATACCCGGAAGACAAAGCGTCTTCCGTATAAGTTTGCTCATAAAAGTTTGTCTGCGGACCAGAATTTTTGTCGCAATAAACATACGGACGCTATAAGCGGAGTCGCTTTAACCTGATTCTACTGTATTTTACATTTCTTAAATATTTTATATATATATTCCTTAGAATATTTTCGATTGGCATATGTTTACAGCACATTGATTTGTATATTTCTCCAAATAAAAATATATTCATTTTGCTTCATATTTTTAAAAAAAATCTTAAGCATATATTTTTTGCTGATCGATATTTTCGACCATGCTATTTACATTTTATAGAGTTTCGTCAGTATACTTTACCCAGGGGTACAAATGTAAACAATAAAATTAAATAAAATTCTTTCTATTATCACAAACATGTATCCATATATTATTGTTATATTAAGTTTACACCCATAGACAGATAGATATAATCAAATCATTTCTTTAAATATCTCTAGGAAATATTACATGCATTTTTTCTGTATTTTTGTAACATATTTTATAAAAAGTCGTATATTATATTCCCGTGCCTATGAATGATTTTGACCTTGTACAAAACACTTCTAACTAGTTAACTTACCATTTTGCATATCAATGCGAAAATTTCGACGATAGCCCAAGCCGGAGCGCACCGCTCTGGGGACATCGTAGGCAGCCGCTGTGGATGCGGAGCGATCGTATAAATCATTGCGATAATTGTTCATGGGCAGCATGCGCGCTGGCTGTTGTTGTTGTTGCAGTTGTGGTGTTGGCGCTTGCTGCTGCTGCTGCTGTTGTTGTTGTTGTTGTTGCTGCTGCTGTTGGGCTTGCGGTTGACTGTTGTTGGCATTGGCTTCACTTGCTGCTGGCTGTTGTTGTTGCTGCTGCTGCTGCTGCTGCTGTGGCTGCTGAGCTGCTTCCTCAACATTTGCAGGGGCATTGGCATTGACATTGGCCACAACAACTTGCTGGTTATTATTGTTGTTGTTGTTGCTGGGCTGTCCAATTGGCGCATAGATGTTCTCATAGTGCGGATGATTAGCTGGCTGCTGTTGCTGCTGCTGCAGCGCCGCTGTTGGTGGTGCCGCTGCGGCAGCAATGATGTTGCCATAAACAGCACCGCCGACAGCACCCTCCATGCTGCCCTCAGCCTGGCTATTCTCATCATCCAACAGCGCTATGGCCAGCGAGGCCGCTTGCCTGAAAATGACAAAGTGTTATTACAAATACATTCAAGTCTGGGAAACTTTGCTCGCTCACCTTGCCAACGCGCCCTGCTCTTCCATTCACAATGGCTTATCTATCATACAGACGCCCGCATAGCTGCGTCCAATGGTCATCAAAGCGGGCAATATACGCCAGCTGTCCGAGTCGGGGCAATAGACCTCAACGGAGGCCAGGTTCGAGGTGCCATCATCACCGCCCACCACATAGAGCAGACCATCGTGTGCCACAACGCCAGCATTGCGACGACAATACGACATATCCGCCACGGAGCGCCAGGTGTTTGTCTCGTAATCATAAGCCTCCACCGATTTACGCACCATCGGCCCATCATGGCCGCCCACCGCATATAGGATATTATTGAGCACACCAACTCCGGCGCCGCTGCGACGTGAACACATTTCGGCAACGGGAGACCAGGTGTCCGTATCGGGATTATAGCGCTCCACCGACGCCAGGCATTGGCGCGAAAAGCCATCATAGCCACCGACGGCATAAAGCAGCCCGTTGACCACGCCCACGCCTACTGAACTGCGACGCGTCGACATGGAGGCTATAAAGCGCCAGACTTCAGTCTTCGGATCGTACATCTCGGCGCTGGACAAGCCGGTGGTGCCATCGAAGCCGCCAACCGCATAGATGCAGCCATTAAGCACCGCAACGCCAAGTGTCGAGCGACGCGCCTCCATATTGCTGCAGTTGGCCCATTGATCCGTAGCCGGATCATAGACATCCACAGTGCGCACGCGCAGCGATCCATTGAAGCCACCCACGGCATAGACCTTGTCGCCCAGCACGGAGAGGCCGCTGCGACAACGACGATTGGGCATCTCGGCCGCCTGATACCATTTCTCCTCGCGCAGATCATACCACTCCACGGAGCGAATGGCCTTGGGTGCCTGTCCGCCGATAACTAACAAAATCTTGGGCATGCCCACGGGCTTGCGGGGCTTAGTGCGTGCCGATTTCGTTTCTGTGGGCAGCAGATGATAGGTGAGAGCTTCGATAATCAGATTCTTGCACTCAATGTTGCCCTCGAGCAGCATCTCTTTGTACACACGCTGCGTGATGAACTCCTTGGAGAGAAACGGCAGACGCACATGCTCCATCAGTGCCGCGGTGAATTGCTCCCGCATGGGCACATCATAGCGCAGCCAGCTTATGACGCACTCATAGACCCGCTCCTCATTTGGCACCGAGATGCGATCGTTGGATATCAAATTTATGACCTGCTCGTGCGTGAGATTCAGAAACTCGTCAAACTGAATGACCTCGCTGCAAAAGTGAAGCGAAAAACAAGTTAGAGTGTGTGTGCGTGTGTGCATGGGTGTTGGTGTTTGTCATCAAATTCGCTCAATTATCACATAACTTAGCGATGTGATGTATATGTACATATCATATAAACTGGTTAAAGCGAGGGCTTAACGAGATTAGGATTTATGTAGATTAAGTGTATTTGGGGTAAGTAAAGTCTTACTTTAACAGCTTGATATAGATTAAGCATATGTTTTATATAATATCAAGTCAAATTATAGCGCTAAATTGAGTGTTGAATGAGCTTATGTTGCAGTTATCTTCACATATTAGCTGATGGCTAGAAATTCCACATATACTAAAAGTAGTTCAATAGATTTTATATTATATACATGATATCATATAAATTAAACAGTTTTTTGTGAATATTATATGAACCTATACGAGTCTATTTCAGTGCAAAGATTAGGAATATTATACATAAAACAAATACAAGTAAAATTTTGAAGGCCTAGCTCCTTTAGGTTCTGAGATTGACGCGTTCATCATACGGACGGATAGACGGGTAGGGCAAAATTGACTCAGCTTGCCGCTCTTATCAAGACTATAATACTTTCAGGGATCGGCCACGCCTTCTGCTAACTGTTGCATACATTTTAGCAACGCCAGTATACCTGATTTTCGATTCTAAACGAGTACAGGGTATATTAGTTCAAGCTGCTGTTAACTCATCCGTTTTCTATGAATAATCGAATCGGAAGTCTGTTTTACGCCCAGGCACATTAATAATCATATATCACATTTAATAAATGTGAATTGGACTGAATGATTGATTGATTGATTGATTGACTGATTGGCTTATTGCTTGATTGATTGCCCACTTGTGCACTCACTTGAAATGCTGTTCAATATATGTCTCGGCATAGTTGAGCAACTCGACGCAACCATGCAGATCGGCGAATTCGCGAATGCCTAGACAATTGCTGGCATCCAATTGAGTCTGCAGAAAATCACAGCAGGCATCCCGCACATCCGTTAGCTGCAGCAGATTGGCGGCCGTCAGCAGCACCTGGACATTATCCTCGTTTACCTCCACATTCGATGTGTACACATAGTCGATGAGCAGCTCCAGAGCACGTGCGTCCACGCTCTGCAGTGTGATGCGCGACTTGCGCGACTCCTCGAAGCTGGTGAACATGGCAAAGAAGTAGGGACTGCACGAGGCCAACACCATGCGATGGGCGTGAATCTCCACATCGTCGGCGACCAGAATGACATCACATAACTGTTTTTGTCTGCGAATTAAGTATGAAGCGTTTAATATTCATGTTATTGAGTAAGGTCAGCACGTTTTTAGTGGTTTAGTATAAACTTTCTATAAAATAAAGCACAGTGGTGCGAGAAACAAAATTAACAAAATATGATAATCATATTTTGATGGTTATTATATATTATTCTATAAGTTTTGAAAGTTTTGAATACGTATATATATTAAAAATTTTTGTATATAAAATAAGAATGTTTAAATTATTTTTTGACATTTTTTAAAACTGTTTTTATTATTTAAGAATTCGATTTAGGTACTCAATTAAACAAAAATATATAAAAAATCGAACATAAGATACATACAAAGAAAATAAATACATATATTTTTAAAATACAAATCTATTATTCAAGCATTTTGCATTATTCCCTTTTGGATAAACTGTAATGCAACTGTGAACTTTAAGAATTTCCAATTCGTTAAAATTGAGAATATGTATATGTAAATGAAAAACGAGCTTTAAAGTCCATTGGACCCACGGTGCGTAGCTCGTTTAGGGCATTGGCTTACAGAAAACGAAAATAAATAAAAGAAACCAAAACAAGTTTTGCAGTTCAACACAGAAAAAACCTATACAAATATTTCCATTAAGGTATTTTTCCATATAGGCGACATCTAATCAGCTGACCACACGGAAGTGGGAAGTGAATAAATAAAACAAAAACCAAAAAAGAGAAAAAAAAAAAAATTAACACGAAAAAACGAAACGAAAAACCGGGGCAATTTCAAGTTCAAGGGCAATTATATTTGACTAATGCAAAACCAAAAAAGAAAATAAATAAATAAAAATAAAATACAAGAAAAGAAAAGAAACGAAAAAAAACTACTCATCATTATAATCAAAGCAAAGTCGAATATTAATGGGAATGGTCTCTTGACAAAAGCGAATCGAGAGGTGAATATATGCACACAGACATAGGGTATGTACATGTGTATATGCATATGTGTGCGTGTGTGCGTGTAAGTATGCGCTGTTTGTTCATACTTTATCGCTGTTTAAAGTTGAAGACAAATAAAGCGTAATGCGCAATTATGCGAGCAAGAGAGAGACAGAGAGAGAGGGGGAGAACGAGAGAATAGATGGCCCAGAGATCGGCAACAACAACTGTTGACCGCGTCTCGTCAATTTTTTTGCCCATTATAAAAGTCACATTTTTGCCAAGACCAAAATAAACAAATCATGGGCAGAATTCATATTTGTCTGCATACCCATTAAAATGCAGTTAATTGGCTATATCGACTATGACAAGCAATATGCAACATTTTTTCATGAGCTGTTAAAGATTCCATTTGTTGTATATATGCCCATTAAAAAGTGAGTCAAGTGGGTCAATTGACTATAGGCAACTTATAGAAGACGTATGCATATATATTTACTATATCATTTTAAGCACTCCATATGTATTTTGTACTTTGCTCTACAGGGTATTTACTAGTCCTGTCAATGCTTCACTTGTCCTTAATTGCGACACTTTTTTTTTAGGTAATTGTTTCCTTGCCAGCTATGGGCTCATTACATTTTCATTACATCCCGATACCCTTTAAATATAGGTCAAACGGGTAGGAATTATAAATAGCGTCGCGAGCAATGAAAACTCGAAATGAAATATACCTATACCCTATAAATCTATATATTTTGCAACTGACTGTTTTGTTATGGAGATGTGTAGGGTGGCTGTTAGTCGCATACATCTCAATTATTAATTTATGTGATATAGCACATGAAAACACCGCGTGAAAATAAATTAAAGAAAAAAATAAGAAATTAGCTTAATTCGGGTACAGGGTATTTGCTGGACAGTGTACTGTAATTATAGTAGTATGTTGTAATTCAACTGATTTTATGAGCAACAGGGTATCAGCTAGTCGAGCATAAATATCTATAACACTGAATTGGGAAACTTAAATTTGTTCGCTTCGCTTCCTTGAAGTAGATTGTTGCCAAAAGGATATCGAATTCGAGCTACGCAGCTATCAGTTGTCTTTTACGTTTTAACTCCGCACATTAAACTTTAACTCATTTACAGGGTAACTCGTGGTCGAGTTCACCATTTCTGCTTACTTTCGCATCTCGTTCATTGCGTCGAAGGAGCGCGCCGTGTGCTGCTCGTTGCTGTACTGGCCGACAGTGCCGCGCTCCTTGCCGTTCGGTCGCTGCCGCTGGGAGCTCTCGTCGAGGCTGTTTTGACTGGCGTAGCGCAGCAGGCAGCTGCCCCGATCCAGGCCACTGCCTTCGGCGGCGGGATTTTGTTGTTGTTGCTGCTGCAGCAGCAGGCGCTGACGCTGTGCCACGCCTACGGCGACACCCAGACCAGGTGCGGCCATTGGACCGCCAGGCTCTAACAGCAAAGGCGCCGCAGGCGCCCCCGCGCCCGCTTCACCGTTATTCTGTTGCTGCTGCTGTTGTTGTTGTTGTTGTTGTTGTTGTTGTGGTTGATTCTGCTGCATATTGCCATTGCTTAGATTGCTCATAATACCGATCGTGTATTTGGTTAATAATGCAGTCAGCGCTATCATTCACACACACGTTCACACAGCACGCGCGGCAGCGGAATGTAGCTAACACAAATTTGTTATTCTATTTTTTCAAGCAACTCCGCAAGTTGCAACTTGTGAAAATCGAGTCCGTCCAAAAACTGAAAAAAATACCATATGATTTCTGGCATCAATAAGTTAACAGTGCACTGTAAAGTTTAACAGCAAACGCTATTTTAACCGTTTCAAAGAAATTTAAATTCAACTTAATGTTATATTTTCTATGGCATGGTGAACAGAGTAAACGTATATTTGTTTAATTTAACTTTTATAAGCAACACAACTCAATTTAACACAAAGCGCATATATTCAAACAGTTCAATTACAGCCGGATGATTGTGGCGGTCGGATAATTGACGAGGCAATGCTCATTGTGAATAGCTGCTCATTTAACAGAATTTGTCTCATATAAAGTAATAACTGCTTCTCGTAGATCCTGATTAAATAAAATCAATAATTATTATTGAAAAATATTTACATATATTATAAAAAGTTTATCTGGGCAATTGTACACTAATAAAAATTGAAATATTGTTTCTAAGATGTAACAGATAAAATACCAACTGTGCCTAGGTGGCAACGCTGCCGCCATCATCGATAACACCTAACAACTATCGATGCACGCATCATAACTTTTAGGGCGGTGTTCGCATTTTGTTTTCATTAATTTGATGCTCAAGAATTGTTAATTAAATTTATATTAAGACGCAACTCAGAATGCAAACAATGGAGAAATGCGTGTTAGCGATTGCTGTACTATGCTTTCTGCTGCAAACAGGTAAGTGGCATGCGCAGTTAACAAAAACAAACACTGGAACTAATTTGTCTCGTGGTGTCTCAATCGTCGCAGCTTCGGCCATCAAATGCTGGGAATGTCGCTCTGATAGCGATCCCAAGTGCGGAGATCCCTTTGATAATAGCACGTTAGCGATTACGGATTGCCAACAGGCCAGCGAACTGGAGCATCTGAAGGGTGTCCGACCCACGATGTGCCGCAAGATCCGCCAAAAGGTGCACGGGGAGTGGCGTTACTTCCGGAGCTGCGCCTACATGGGCGAGCCGGGCATTGAGGGCGACGAACGCTTCTGCCTGATGCGCACCGGCAGCTACAACATCTTCATGGAGTACTGCACCTGCAACAGCAAGGATGGCTGCAACGGCGCCGGCCTGCAAAGGAGTAACCTGCTCAACGTCCTCCTTGGCACTTTCGCCGTCGGCCTTGTGGCGCACTTTCTGCGGCAATAGACGTGCCATCGCCGTCGCCTTTAGCGAATGACAACTGTACTCGAATACTGTTTGTGTAATTTTTAAATGTGCCTTCGAACTCGAACTAAACTTAACTAATGAAACGCAATTCCGTCCTGCCTTTGCGTACATATCTAGAGATATCTAAACACTCACATTGTATATGTATTACGATCGAATATATATATCTTTATTTCGATATATACATATACCTATTCACATTCCGTATCAATTAAGATTAAGCGCAATCTCGTTTATTTTGTATGCCGATTTTTACACTTGTTTAGTTTAAGTGACGAAAGTTTACAAATTTTTATTGTAATACCAATTAGAACATTTTTACAACCGAATAAAAATCATTTAAATATTTTAAATTTGTTTTTAAACATTTCATTTAAAATTATAATTTTTATAATATATATTTTTTAATTAACTTCTAGTTTACAAATTAAAATTTAAGCTTAACCAAAGGAACTAGTTCTTTGATTTTAATTACTGTTCTATTTACTTCGCTCAATGATTCCGCTACTAACAAAGTAAATAGAAAAGATGTTTTGTTCAAAAATAATCGGACTCATTTTTTCAGTTTTATTTTGATGTTTCATTACATAACATGATTACACTATTATTATAATATTACATTTCAGAGGCTTTAATTAACAAATTATTAATTCTTATTGATTAAATATCGAAATCGAGTAAAACATACTACTTATAGTTCTTTGTATGACAAAAAATGCCCAGCCTAATATATTATGTAAAATTGTTTGTTCAGCAAGATCACTTTAACTATAAGCATAATCAGTAAGATAGCTTACTATCGTATATAACTATTTTACTATCATATTTAACAGTTTCCATTATTATGCATATGTTTTTAATGCCCATCCGCTCTCGTTACTCGCCCAACGATAACTTTCCGTCTCATACGACGCATTGTGACGTGTATGGCCCACAGAAGACTGCGTTGCACGAGAGCTGTTGGGCGCCATTTGCGAATGGCAATTTCTTTCCTTTTCGTGTCTTCGGTGTTTGTACGCGTTGCTCGTTTTGAATTTTTGTTTAAACGTGTTAAGAAGTCAGTTTAATCGTCTTAAACCGTATGTATACGGCTGTTAAGTACATTTACTATTGTTTAATTGTTACGAACATTTTGTATGCATATTTTAAAACATTTTTTTTCTGTAAACGAGAAATTTTGTGTGCGCGAAAAGCGCCGTTATTTTCAGCACCCAGTGTTGTTGTACCTAAAAAACAGCTTTATCGTGCCTTCTGTGTAATTTGTGTGAAGAATTTTGCAATTCCGTTTGTATTTGTGGTCAATTTTAAGTAAATAATAACAAAATTTAAATGGATAAATGCGAAGAATATTGGCTGGATGTAGATAACGTCATACAAACCTACAAATGCGTACAAGATGTTTTCAGGTTAGTTTATAGTTGAAGGAATTTTCGCAATTTATTTTTACATGATAAAGAAAAGAAATAATATTTTTTAAAATTGTACATTGTATTATTATGAATATTCAATGAGCTGCTGCCGCTCACAGCGCCATTTGAAGGGCGAATAAAGCGAGCAGCGCTGCTGAAGTCATTGCCACAAATCGTCCTGCAGACGAGGCATTGCACAGATCACCTTTGCAGGTGTAACAGCTCTCCACCTGGCGGCTGTGCGTCACTGTGCAGACATTCTCCTTCTGTCCAACCACCTCGAAGTGACAGTCGCGGGAGACAATTACGCCAGCGCGATCTAGAAGTAGAAAAGAGAAAGAAAATTTAAATTCAGTTTGTTGTTGGTTTTCGCTTTGCAATTTTCAGGAAGTTTTCATGATTTGAATGGGTAAGTTTAAATAGATATTTACCATTTTACTGTGTATATCATGCTAATAATTCTGTTTTCTAGGCAGGTGTGTGCTAGCTTGATGCTCTAATGCAGGTCTAACTTCTATTGTTACCGGTCTCAGCTTTCCCATTGGAAGTAACGTCTAAATATGTATGTACCTAGTCCAGCGAGTGTAGCTAGTGCAAAACACAGCGAGTCGCATTTCAACGAATGCTTATTGCTCTGCGGTTTTCATATATGGAACGTTCTCAACCTACTCGGTACTCGGTATTCAGTATTCGTTACTCAGTACTCGGTATTCAATACTCGATACGCATTGTCTTTTTATAATGCTCGAGTCTCGAATTTGCTTTTACAGCTTTGATAGCTTTTTAAAGCTTTTAGAGCTACTACAGCTTCTACCAAAATTAAGAATTTGCATAGCGGGCTTATATGCTTGATGTAAAAGCGATAGAATTGTCAAAGTATGCCTAGGCATATGCCTGAAAAGTCCCTGTCTCCCTAAAAATATTCGATTATAAGTCATTAACAGAATGAACACTTTATATAAAAATTATAAGTAGATTCAAAATTAAATAAGAATATACCTTACTATTACTATATTTATTAGCCTTTATATATGTATGTATGTGTATGTTCAAATATTGGTCAAATATTTCCGTTTATGAAGTGCGAAGTTGCTTCTAATGAATTAGACTGGGATTAGTTATATTACATTAGAATTTTTGTATATTGAATAATTTGTTTTTGTGTTTTTCTGACCCACGTAAAGCTTTATTTCTGTCGCATGACTGAAATGTAAACGAACTTTTGGCTCAACGAATTGCGTTTTTGAGCGATTTTGGAATGTTTTTAATATATGAACATGCTAATCAAGTCGATTCGGCCTCCGGTACGAGTTGACTCGTCTACGCAATGACATCACTAATAATAATTAATTTAGTTTGTTTTTTTACGCTCAAGGTGTGCGCGCGATGTCGTCGTCGTCGCCYATTCATTGCGAATGCAAATCATGTGGAAAGTGGGAGCAGGGGGAGCGGACGGGGCGTGGCTAGAAGTGGGACAATGGTTTTACTTACCGCTGGTGACCACCTTGTTGCACCTGGTCACGGGCTGCAGCTGCTCCATGGTGTTCGGCTTTGCCACAGTGTCGCAATCCACCTGACGAATATTCGAGGTTTCATCCAATTTGTCCTTGCTGCAATTCACATCCGTTAGGGATTTGCATTGATAGCACTTGATGGCAGTTGCTGTCGATGAGAGATTGAGAGAGAGAGAGAGAGAGAGAGAGAGAGAGAGAGTTGAGAGAGACAAGGTCAAGTCATATTTTCGAGTTACAAATACAATTTGCATAGTTACAACCAGTTTACCTGAGACGCCCTCAGCTACGCTTGGCTCGTTATCTAACGCCTACTGCGAATTAGCGCTTCCAGCTGGAAGTCTCTGTCTCTCACTATATAAACATAGAACTATTTACGTTTGTTTTTGCTATGAAGTCAGCGAAGCCGATATCAGCGTCTTATATATAGCTCGTAATACGTGCACAATATGGCATTGTTTTGTCATTATTTAATGATTTTTTTATGCATTTATTCAGTTTATTTATTTGTTGTATTGTGTTTGGAATTCTTGAAATTAAAATAGTTTTATTTTATTTTATTTTTTTTTTTTTTTCCTTTGGCTAATGTTTTAACAATATTAGCAGATGTTTCGTTTCGACTTTAAAATTATAATTTATTGTTGAATATTTGAATTTTTTTTTGAGCAATTTGAAATATAAATTTTATTGTATATTATTTTCAATATTCCAAGGTTTAAAAATTGGAATTTTCTAAATGTTTGCTTTTTTCATCCATTTCTATGGGCAAACAAGTTTCCATTAGCTTTGATTTATTTTCTATTTAAATTGAATTGTTTAAATTCGATTTTCGTATTTCTATACAATTTTTATATTGCCCAAGAAATGCTTCGCTACACTTTAAAAACAATAAACTCCAAACTAGCTTTATTTAATTTAAAAGTATTTAGCATTTATTTGAATATTAATTTCTGTATTGTAAAAGGCTTAAAACTTTGATCATATAATTTAGAAGCATAAGTATTTGAAATTTCAGCATTTACAAATTTAAAATATCAAATCGTTTTAGGCTCGGCTAGCTTTCTGCCCTTTTCACTTATATAACGAATTTCAAACAGGTTTCCAACTAAAGCTTTTCATTTCATTTCTGACCCATATGCGCACAAGTTGTATTTGAAATATTTTCAAACTTGTTCTAATTATTTTCTACGATATAAGAGAAAACTTACCACTGTGCATGAGGCACATGGCAATTAGCAAACAGGCAAAAATTTGTTTCAGCATTTTCCACAAATTTATTTATACGAATATAAACGCTTCTATTTTGCTTCAACTTTTGATTTCACGAACGCTTTCAACCGTTCCACAGTCGACGAACAACTGAATGCGCAGTCCGTTTGTTTGTTGCTGCGAACTTGTTTCGAGTGCGCAGCGTGCAAAGCTTCTTCAGCTTAAATTGTTTAAATAAATTGTGTGAGTGGAACTCAAAACGAGTTCGCTGCGAATGAGACCGACGAAAATTGAGCGAAAAAAAAAAAAAACTAGAAAAAGAAAAGTAAACAGAAAAACTATTTTGTTTTGATCTGTAGCTTCGCTCTTGCAGTGCATGTGTGTGTGTATGTGTAGATGTGAGTCTCACTCTCTCTCTCGCACGCTCTCTGCCTGTCTTTGCGTGTAACTCTTGTGGCTGATCAGTTTTTCATAAATTTAATTTACTTTAACTAACTTTAATTGCAAGCTGACACAGTTTTTCCGCACTACGTATTACACGCATAACTGAGTGTGATATGCGCCAAGTTATACCCTGTACAGTGCTCGTGCATCGTGCTCTGTAATTAATAAAAATTACAGAGTATAAACCCTGAACCTATTGAAATGGGAAATAGAGGTATTAAGACTTTGCTATTGTATACATATATTATTATATTTTTGGGAGCTGATTCAGATCGATTAAGTTTTATGATTTTTTTGCATAACATTTTTAGCTTTGATTTACATTTAATGAATTGAAAAGTCTACAAAGTTTTTTAAATATAGCGACGAGCATTAAGAAATGTATGTAGCTCCTATATTTGCTAAAAATAAAATTTATAATACAGTTGTAACAATACTAGATGCTGGCTCAAGAAGGAGTGACGAATTCCATAAAATACTATATATTATTGATGCTTAATGCGAATTTAGTCGTCTAATACACATTTTGAAGTACTTTATGAATATTCATAAACTCAAAGAACATTCTACTAAAGAAATTTGTTCTATTATGTGTTAATTTCTCAACTCTTGCAATCGCTTTACGTTGGCAATTAAAGAGGATCTGTTTCACCTGCTACCCTGCTTGAGTACTTATTTTGTTTTTTTAATGCGTTCCTTCACCTTTTTTCACCTGTCTGTGGAAATGTCTGTGTTTAGCGCCGTTATCCAGGCTGATTGCCATTTATTGTGCCTGATATCTGAGCCATTGAGTATGTTAAAATCTTTGCTGTCTGTTGTCTTGGTGATGCGCCCTGCAGCCAACAAGCCAGCGAACCAGCCAGGCAGTCGCAATGAGCAGCTCAGACGGCATTGGCTTTTTAAATCCTCGTAACAAAAGAAACCCCTTTCTGCACGCCATTCAGCAAATGGCAAACGAATTTATAGCATGCCAACACCTTCTCCCTGTTTGCCAGTTTGCCAGTTGGTTATCAATCAGACGCGAAGTACTTTGAGTACGCAGGTTAAAGTGCCTTGAGTAATCATGACAATTTGCAGTCTTTTGAATTTCCTCCAAAATACTCACTCAATTTATTGCGCTCCAATCGAAATATACCAGACTTTGTTTTTGATTTCGCTCAATAGCGAACACCGTCCCGCCCACCTGTCGGCTTAAGCTTTGGCTCAGCTCGCAGCTTGAGATGCCTAACAATTGCATTCAGTACAAAAGCTTTACATTGCTCTTGATTGATCTAGATATTTTTTGTGTATTTTATTTGATTAAAGATTTTCATAAATATTTTTTTTATTGCTTTGCAAATTTAATTTGTATTTGTGTCCAAAAATACTTTACTTTCGTATGAAATTGTCAATTCAAATTGTGATATTGCTTTTCACATGCCATAACTAACAATTATCAACTATTAAATATTGTTCAGTAAAATTAATTATTTTTAGTTGATCAAAGCGTATGATCTAGATATTTTTTGTGTATTTAATTTGATTTAAGATTTTCATAAATATTTATTTTATTGCTTTGCAAATTTAATTTGTATTTGTGTCCAAAAATGCTTTAATTTTGTATGAAATTGTCAATTCAAATTGTGATATTGCTTTTCACATGCCATAACTAACAATTATCAACTATTAAATATTGCTCAGTAAAATTAATTATTTTTCGTTGAGCAAAGCGTATGACTGACTTTTAAATACCCTGCAGAAAAATTCATTTAAATTTTGTATCATTCTTTATTCAAGTAAAAAATTTGTTTCTTTAAATAATTCAAATAAATAATATTNAAGAGCGTAAAATGTTTGCTTAATTGTCAAAATTTGTGTTGCTGCTGCAGGGGAAACTATCCAAAGACCACAAAGTCGCTTAGGGAGACAGCTAGGATGGGGCATCATGGCTCATGATGAGGGATGAGCATTAACCCAGTTAACCCATTAAAGCCGTGTCATAAATTCAAAGCCCACAGCACAACAACAGAGTCAGCAGCARCARCAACAACAACAACARCAGCAGCTATGTTGGCGCTTRCTTTGTGGCTTTTTGTGGCCAGGCTTGGCACCGTTTTTCGACTCATTAAAGCCAACTTTACGCAATTAGCCTAATAAGCCGCCCCGAAGTAGGCTACAACAAAAACAAAAAAAAAACAGCAACAACAACAAGCAGCGAGACGCAAAAGTAAAAACAGAAACAGTAGCAGACACAGGCGCCACCTCGCCAATTTTACAACACTTTTGGGCGCATTTCGCATTTTCGCTCAATTAAATTAATTAAATGACAGCTCAAATATGCAGCGAGTCCGAGATGTGGAGATGACCCCACTGATGACTACACTAAATAAGGGACCAGCGGTGCGGCTAAAGTAACTAAATTGGGATAAGGCTAATAGCTGCAAAATAATGATGAGAGCCAAGCAGCAAATAAATGATCAGCGGAGAGATACCCTACAGACATTTTTATATATAATATATGTATATATTTAGAAGAAAAAAAAAAACATGAAAAAACCTATGGACTTTGTCTTCAGCTCGTAACTATTTAGACAAAGATTTCAGAATTGAATAAGAAGTTTTTGATGTTGAGTTTATAAAAATTGTGAATGTGAATGAACATTGCATTTGTTCTATTAAAACATCGTTATGAGAATTCAGGTATGTTAAATGCTGGTCTAAGGATGTATGCCTTCTGTTGTGATAATGTGCAGCCATGGCAAAGTCAGTATGCAAAACAAATTTAATGGAGGCAAACTTGAATATTCCACGCCCTAAGCAGTAATTAGTTATATTAAAGTATAAGTTATATGAATTGCCAGTCAATTACTTCTATTTGATCCGTAAGAGCAGCAGTTGGAATGCGTATCCACCGTACACCTGCATATGCCAGAGTCACATATATCACAACAGCTGAGTTCGGCCGGCTTGCAGGGAGACGAGAGCAAATGAGAATGAGTACAGAGGGAGGATGCGGGGTGAGCGAGCTCATTTGAATTTGATCAGTAAGAGCAGCATTTGAAGTGGATGTGGAGAGACTAATTGAAATGCTATTCTTATAGATCAAAAGGCAAATGCTGCTCTCTCTCTCTCTCTCATCTTGCTGAAACCCCTATCGTCGTATTTTCGCTCAATGCGAAACTGTGACACGCTGAAAGTCACTGTCAAATGGAAATTCAAGGTGACTTAACGCTAATGGTATATTTGTTATTATTATTTTAAGTGGATGTGAAGAGACTAATTGAAATGCTCTTCTTATAGATCAAAAGGCAAATGCTGCTCTCTCTCTCTCTCTCTCATCTTGCTGAAACCCCG